GTTCAACTTGTCTCACAGAACAGAGACTCCATGGCTCTATAGCCCAACCATCACAATGCAACTCCTTACGTGGGTTTCTTATGATGCAAGCTTTGTTAAGAAAGCTGAGATATTATATATATATAAACTACTAATTAGAAATAAACAAATAAAAATCAACAAAAATTTAATTGAGTTAATATTTTTTAACTAAATATTTAGATATAGGTTGAGTGGAGGAATTAAACAATTGCTAGCATAAAGGTTAAATTTCAAATTTAATTTTTCAACTTTTAATTTTGAACAAATTTCATCTCTCAATTTTTGTTGTATTTTTTTGTTTTTTAACTTTGAAAAATATATATTTTTTGTTATTTTAAGAGTTCATTTATTAAATTTATCTAGATATATACATTTTTAGTCTTAAACTTATATATATATACATTTTTAGATATAAACAATTTAACAGATTAACTGATAAGAATTAAAAAAGTGTATTTTTTTATAATTTAAGAATTAAAAATACAAAAAATAATTTAAAAACTAAAATATTTAAAATTAAAAGTTTAAGGACTAAAATTGAAATAGTATAATTAGTATAGTATAAAGAACAAAATAATAAATTAAATCTTATGCCTCCAAGCTTATTGGCGATTCTCAAAAATGCCTCAAAAGCTATGATTAATGTACAAATTAAGTACCTTATTTCCTCTGTTGGTGCAATAATCTTTGATCTTTTGTGGTAGTAGAATCCATCTTTGTCTCTGGGCGGCAAAGGTAGGTGTTTCTTCCTCCAAGCAGCTACAATGACTTGTGCGAAGCTCGTGAACAAATTCTTGTTAGCATCCACTTTAACGTAGAGGGCAGAGCCCAGGAAATACATTACGGTGGAGAAAAATATGAGTCCCACTGGAATTCCTAACCCCACGACCCATCCAATTTTGTCTTGAATATAAACTATAACGGTGACAGCGATGGTGATCGAAACCCCGACTGAAGTGTAATACCAATTGAATAAGGTCTGCAGGACCCTCTTATTTTTTGGGTCGTTGGGATTGTAAAATTGGTCAGCAGCAAAGGCCAACGAACGCGGCCGGATACCTCCACCTCCAATGGACATGAGAGCAAGTGAAGAGAACAGCAAGGCCAGCCGCGCCGACCCTGGGGACAGAGAGTTTTGTACGTTCTGGCTATAGCAATCCGGAGGTCTTGCCACTGGAAGGATTGCTGTTAACCATGACACTGTCATTCCCTGTGATCAATGAACATTTCTGCTGAGTTTGATCGAAGAATATTAAATTTCTTTAGTATCAATCTTAATTAGGCTTATTTTCAAAATCATCCTAAACTTTAAAAGTTGAGCGCTTGGATCCTTAACTTTTTATCATTTTAAGGGTGGGACAACCTTCCGACGGGCTCCAAAGGTTGAGCAACTAAAAACATATCTTATTCTTTACGATAATTACTGGTTTTCTTACCGAAAGACTGATGACTGTTCCGATGCCGATGACACGAAACCAGCCAAGGAAAGAATCAGAGAGGAAAGCACCAATGGTGGGCAAGAAATTGGAGATAGCAGACCGGAGAAACAACACATAGGCTCCAGCCGCATTAGAAAGGTGATACTTTTTTCTTTTTTTATTTTAAAGTATAAGATCATATTTGCTTGGAGCCCGAATCAACAACCTTCTCAAATGATTCATTTGCTGCGTAAAATAAATATAGAAGTTTAATTTGAAGGTTAATACGAAGTAAACAATATTATGCATAGGCAAAGCAAAAAATCAAGAAGATTCACAGATTTAAAATTAACATGGAAGGAAAAACAAAAAAATGAGAGAGAGAGTGAGAAGGAAACAAGGCGGACACAGCTCACTGGCAAACCGGATGACACTGAATCGAGAGCATGAAGAGACTCGTGGAAGAAGCCCACAAAGGGGATTGGAGCTAGTAAAACAGAGAAGAGTGCAGGATGTTAAGCACCAGGATTGGAAGACGCAGAAGCATGGAATGTACAACTGGGATCTATACAAACAAGCCACTCCTTATTTCTTTACCAATTGTCCGGATGACTGGAGTTATGAAGACATGTGGAAGACATTCCTGAAATTTGGAAGGGTTTATGACATTTATAGCCCAAATAGAAAGAGCAAGAATGGTGGCAGATTTGGATTCGTGAGATTTCTGGGGGTGTCAGATAGAAATGAACTAGAAAGACAACTAGATCAGATATGGATTGGAGGGCAAAAATTATGGGTAAATAGACCAAGATTTGATGAGGGAAAGAAGGAAGTCAGGGGAAGAAAAATCAATGAAGTGGCAATAATGAATTAGAAGAGGAGCTATGTAGAGGTGGTGAAGGGATGGAAAGAGTATGACAGGGAGGAGGAAAGGATATCACAGAGTACAGCAAATCAGAATCGATTTGGGAGGAATGACATTGGAGATGGGGAGTATACAGAGCAAAGCAGACAAGGAAGAAGCAGAAGTAGACATAGAAATGGGTACTAGAGGACGGAAAACAGAAAACAATGGTAAGAGAGAGGAAAAGGAGAAAAATCGGTTGGGATGGAATATAATATAAAACAAGAGGAGTATGCATGGCTTGAGGGGTGTTACGTTGGTACAGTACACTCCGTTGAAATGGTTCAGAATTTACAGGAGAAGTTCTTTATGGAAGGGTACTTCTCATGCCAAATTAGACCGATGGGAGGTAGATTAGTATTATTAGATTGTCAGGATAAGGAGGAATTAAAGGACTTGGTTGAAATGGCATCAGATTGGCTATGGCAATGGTTCAAAGAGGTGCATCCTTGGTCACCTGAAATGGTTGCAAATGAGAGGTTTGTGTGGATTAGGTGTCAAGGAGTACCATTAAATGCCTGAGGAACTGATTTCTTTTCAACCATGAGCTGTTCATGGGGTAAATTCATATGTGTGGATGATAATACAAGCAAAAGGAGGAGGTTTGACATTGCTAGATTCTTGATCTCTACTCCAATTATGGATACAATCACAGTCTTACGACAAGTAAAGATTAACGGAAACATATACACTGTTAAATTTACAGAGGAGGAGTTCACTAATAGTTTTTTCTCCTTGAAACAAGACTTCATGCCTTCATTTGAAAGTGACTCAGAGGAGCACGAGGTGTGGACTAGTGAGGCAGAATCGGAGTAGAAATTCAATTATGCAGAGAAGGATGAACTGGTTAACTTCGATGATGCCGGTGAAGAAGATGATGACGTGTCGGAAGTAGGGAAAACCGAGAAGAGGGGGACTTAGGTGCAGAATAGTCAGAAGGATCAGGAACAAGTTGCAACGGTTGGGGATAGCCTGGAACAAATTCAAAATTTGAATGAAGGATATAGAAAAGTAGGGGTAAGAGGGATGACATCACAGCAAGAAGTGCAGAATCCAATAATAGAGTGTAGTGAAGAAGTTGGAATAAAAATGAGCTGCAAGGAATTGGTCGAGAAGAATTTGGGTAGTGAGCCCAATACACAAAAAAAAAAAAAAAAGCCCAGATGTGGAGGAGTCCACAAATATGGGTCAAGCCCATATGAAGACAGTAAGAAGGAGGGCAAATCTGAATAGCAAAGAAGACAAATACAGTAACACAAATGATTCAGACGATAGCAACAAAGAGGTGGGTGAGGATGTGTTCTGGAAGGGCTTCGAAATGGAGAAAGGGAGACTAGAAGACTGGATGAGCAAGCAGATGGGGAAGATTGCAAAGAAAAAGAGAAGGAAAGTCAGAAAGTGCAGCTCGTTATACGCAAACACAGGTGTAGAAGTCGCAGGAGCAAAAGGAAGAAGAGGAAGAGGAAAACAAAGCATGCAGCTGATGGAGAGGAAATTAGCACCAAAATTTTTGCCAAATCCAAATGGGTTAGTTGCAGGTGATTCAATTGGAGATAGCAACATTCAAAATTGTAATAGATTTCTAAAGAAAAAGATGTAGAATCAGCTAGCAAAGGAGATATGGGACTTGGCGAAGCAGCTTGGAGCAGTGGCGGAGGATGACAATGAGATGATTCAAAGAATTGAGGAGCTAAAGGAGAGGGACAAACAAGCAAAAGCAAACATGGCAAACCGAGATATGGGTGTCAATTCGAAGGTATGTCAAGATACCAATGATATTGCTCTCATATAATATAAGGGGTCTCGGAGGGGTCGGGAAGAAAAGACAAGTTAGGGAGTTAGTGATCAAGGAAAGAGTAGAGTTTCTAGCTATTTAGGAAACCAAATTAGAGATTGTTGATAGGAATATTTGTTGAAGTGTTTGGGGGACAGAGGATCGTGATTGGGTGTCAAAACCGTCGAATGGCATGTCGGAGGGTCTATTGTGTGTTTGGAACTCTAAAATGCTCAAGAAGGAAGAGGTTCTGGAGGGGGAGAACTTCATTGGGGTTTATGGATTATGGGGGGAGGATAAGCTACCTGTGAGCATCGTAAATATTTATTCACCTTGTCAGTTAACGGGCAAGAGAGCCTTATGAGAGGAGCTGCAACACTTGATGAATAATAGAAGGGGGAAGTGGTGCTTGGCAAGAGATTTCAATGATGTGAGAAGAGTAGAGGAAAGGGCAGGATGCACTAAAACTTCCAGAGAAATGAGGGAATTTGATGAATTTATTCATAATGTTGAATTGCTTGACTTGCCTTTGCTAGGGAGGAAATACACATGGTATAATTGAAATGGGCAGCACATGAGTAGGATTGATAGATTCCTGTTATCGGAAGATTGGATAACGGAGTGGAGCAATGTGAAGCAATGGGGATTAAGAAGGTCAGTATCAGATCATTGCCCTATTTTATTGAAGAATGAGAAGGTTGATTGGGGTCCAAAACCTTTCAAATTTTTCGATGCTTGGCTGGATCAACCAGGTTGCAAAGAGGTGATTAGAGACGTGTGGAATCACAAAGAGGTGAAGGGGTGGGAGGGTTTCAAGCTCAAGGAAAAACACAAAACAAGCACTAAAGGAGTGGAGCAGTAAATCGATAAATGAGGTGGATGGCAAAATTAAAGAAGCTGAAAATGTGATAGCTAAAATTGATGAAAAGGGTGAGAAGACTCAACTGTCAGCAGATGATATTGAAAAGAGGAGAATCAGCTTTGTTGAATTATGGAAGAATCTAAGGATTAAGGAGAGGATATGGCAACAAAAGTCAAGAAAGATGTGGTTGAGAGAAAGAGACGCGAACACTAAATTTTTTCATAGATGCATGAAGGGAAGGTGGAGAAGAAACGAAATTAATTCTATTTGAATCAATGGGGAACAGCACACAAGGGTGACGGAGATAAAAGAAAAGGTAGCTGAATACTTTCAAGATTTGTTCACAAAAGAGAAATGGTAGAGACCAAAGTTGGATGGGATTAGCTTCAATCAAATATCACAAGCTGATAATGAAATCCTTACAGCTAAATTCTCGGAAGAGGAGATTAAAGAAGCAATTTGGAATTGTGATTCTTCCAAAGCTCCAGGCCCAAATGGATTTAATTTTAGATTTGTTAAGACAATGTGGGAGGACATAAAGTCTGATATTGTGTACTTTGTGCAAGAGTTTCACAGCAATGGTAGACTTGTCAAAGGATCAAACACATCTTTTATTGTGTTAATCCCCAAGAAAGAAAATCCTCAGAGTATTGAAGAATATAGACCCATATCATTCATTGGGGTCATGTATAAGATCATTGCAAAACTACTAGCAAATCGATTACGAAAGGTGCTACCCAAGGTAATTGAGGATCAGCAGATGGCGTTTATAGAGGGGAGACAACTTGTGGATGGAGTTGTGATTGCAAATGAGATTATAGATGAAGTTATAAGAAGGAAGAAAAGATGCTTCCTCTTCAAAGTTGACTTCGAGAAAGCATATGACAAGGTGTGTTGGGATTTTGTTGATTATATGATGATGAGGAT